ATTTCGTTTATTTAAAAAAAATATGTAAAAAAATAAAATATTACTAAAATTTTAAAATAAATTTTAATTTAATTTGAGAAATATGCATTTCTTTTTCAGAACCTGCAAGAATATACAATTTTTTTTTTCATCTATGATAGGTTGTAAGAATGGGTTAATTCATGTAGGTAATTCGAATGCTCGTCAGAACATGGTATAAGCTGAAATTCGACTAATCGATTTTGTTGGCTTCGTTTTGTTGAATCACTTTGAATTTATAACATGATTGAAGCGATTAGTTCTTTTAATATTATCGGACTTGGAGTATTTTATTAAAAGAATATTTCATTGGATTCAAACACTTTATTCTTTTAAAATTAGTATGAGTTTTTAAGATTTTGAATTACTTTCCTGTTGTTTTGTGGTTATTATTTATTTTTTATTTTCGTACTGAATTGCCATTGAAAGATGTTGAATTTTGAGACAGTTTCAACGGGACTTTTACTGAAGTCAAGGGACAGAATGGCATTCGTTGTCGCCGATTTTTATAGATTAACGACAGTTTCTAATTTCTTGCCGGAAAATTAGAACCTGCACGCAGTCGTGATTTAGAATTTATATACAACCTCTTTCACAATGGAAGGGCACATCGATTTTAGCATCTAGTACCATAACCTTACAGTCAAAAAGGTTTCGTGTTTTCAAATTTTTAAACATTTTAGGGTTAGAATCGTCAGTCATAAGGAGTGGTATATACAGTGACTTTGATTTGTATAAGGATTTCCATTACAAATTATGAAATATTCTTTCCAGAATGAGTTTCTGATATTTAATAATTATGAAATATTATTCTAATGTTACGATGACGAGAAATATAATCACTCGTAATGAGATGAACATCATCTTTAGAAGTCGTGGTAAATGTATTGAACGTTTTTTTTGATCTGTCATAGAATGAATCTACTGTCTTTCTGATTGTCCATACCCGCATCGGTATACCCTACATCTTAAAGCTGTTTATACAGCAAGTCCAGACAAAGGATTCCACCGCCCTCCCTTATTATTGAATTTCTCTGGTAAAACGCAAAACTGATTTTTTGATTCAATATTTGAATATATATTCATTCATTTATTCGATTTATATTCGTATCGATGGTTATGGGATTTGGATTAGCATAATATTTAAGAAAATATGTATTTTAGTTATTTTTTAAATATTTGTTTAGATAATATTTAGCCTTTGTAAATAAATATGAGATCAATTGGAATGAGATAACCAAAAAATTATTTAATATTGATTTGCATTAACTATAATTTGTTTGGGGATGTTCATTAACATTTGTTTTTTTTATGTATTAATTTATACATGTCACTGCTTGCATTTTAATGTTTCATCTCAATGAATCAGTCTATCAAATGAATATTGTAATATTTTTTTTTGTCCTTTTTTATAAATTATATATGTAATTGCTTGTTCTTAGTTTGTAAAACACATTATCAGTATAATTTTTACTTAAAACTAAATACATACATACAAATAAGAAACAAATATATTTTTTCTAAATTCATTCATAAATAATTGGACATTTTCAGTTTTGGTTATTAGAAGCGTGTTTTAGGTTTGAAAATCATTTTATGAAATATTTACATTGCATGTGGGCTTCAGTTTCTTCTTCGTCATTTTTTGTTTTGGGATCTGATCTGTAGAGGCTTTAGAAGCGTTTTCCCTGCAGCGGGTAATGATCTGAATAAAATAAAGTCGAATATGCTTTTAGGACAACCTTTTTAAAATTAAAATTTAAAAATAAATACTTTAGGGTATAATTCATTCAAGGAGTTATATACTTGGCTAGATTTCTGTCATTATTTTCAATGTCACATTTCCACGGGAAGCTAGCTATAGCTCAGCTTTTTCTACATTTACATGCTAATAACTTTGTTAACAGCACTTATTCTACTAAGCGTTTTCGTTTAGAAAACCCCCGATCTATTCAATGGCTGCTGTTGCTGTACTTAGGTGCAACAATGATAACTGGTTTGTCCACCACCACCACCACCATTACTGGAGCCATTTCTCAGAACGTAATCATTGTATATAAGAGAATTGGAGGAGGATGTTTTACTATAACTGGTGTGGATCTGCTGTGAACTATTATCAATTGAATGTATGGTTTTACAAGAGAATTGACGATGATTTGAGTCCTGAAAGTAAGCGATGCATTATATATGGGAAAAGTCAATATTTGATTGATTCGAGTACCTTTGGTTGTATGGGAAAACAACACCATAGAATGAAAGCAACAAAGGCCACAAATGTGCCAACCAACAAAATAAAATCTTCGATTGTCTGGAATGAAAGCATCCAAAATATTCCATAATAATATATTTTCGTATGTGTGGTAATTCCATTGAACTTACCGGTTCCTCCCCAAGTAAGACAAAATTTATTAAATAGGAAAAATCGTCAAATGGTGTCATCTTTATGGGACTCCTTGGTATACAATTTAATGTGTACAAGATTTGAGTAGATTCGATTGTAGCTTTCAAAGATTTATTGTCTGATTGCTGCAATAAATTACTTGCAAAAAACGGCAACAAACTCTTCAATAAACCCGAAAAATTGTCGAATTGTTTGTAATTGCAATGTCAAATAAGACATTTGATTCTCTTTGGTTCACTATCGTGTTCTCTCTGAGGCTGGCTGTCGTCCTTCAGTGACAGTTGTATCCTTTGTTTACATTGCACAAAGTTAAGGGATGTTTCTTTTTTGCGATATGTCACTCTGTCACTGAGGTAATGATTTTCCGTTAATTCAATTATTGGTTTGGAAATATTGAGAATTTGAAATGTAAAAATTACTAATTAATTAATAATTCAGCATTTGTATACCATTAGTAATGATTACGTGCCCGTTACATCATAGAGTAACTCTGTGACAAGGGTTTCTTCAGAATTATCTTTCATTGGCTGTAAATTTAACACAAATAAGGTGTCATATTGAAGGTGATATATTTTGCTTTATGATATAAACGGCAAATTTATTATTTAAATCTAGGTTAAAGCGGCAATTTAGAAACGCAACCACCAAACGAATTTTTCGCACAAAGAGGTTCATATTTATGAAAATATGAATGAATTTCGAAAATATGCCTTTACGACCTGTAAATTTAGCGACTGGGGAGATGGAGAAAACAAAAAAATTAGGATTTTCTTCAATGTTCAATAACTTTTGATATACTTGGAGTATAGTGATCAAATTGGTATCATATGAAAGGTAAAAACTCTAGCTATTTCGATATCTGATCAGAAATTTATATATATGGACTGCTATATGTCAAAAAATATTCTGAATATACATTTAAAAATTACAACCTTAAGTAAGTTTTTAAAATAAAATTTGTTGATACTATAATAAAGACAACAATTTGCCCTTTAATATGGTACCTTTGTTGTGTTAATAGAGCAATTTGTTAAAAAGTTGCAGGTAGTAGAAAACAATTCCAATGAAACAAGAAAAAAGTGTCAATTGTTTAGTTTTCTTAGTAAGCCCACATATGTAATTTATCTCATTTATATACGATGTAGCACAGTCTGCCCCAATCGACTATAGAGCTTTGTTAACATTTGACCAAAAAATTGACGATATTTTAATATCTTTAAACTTTCACATAATGCTAATTTTCTCCTATATAACATGCGTATTTATATTGAGCGTCGATATGTAATAACACTTTAGAATTCCCTCTAACCATTGGTGCAAATTTTATACAAATCGGTTAAGTATTCGCTGAGTTATTTGCGTTTGAAGTCAACGATGTTCCGAATTATACTTACTGTTCGGTGCTGGGCGCCTATTACCTTAAAATGAAAAAACACACAAAAATCGATCTTGTAAAAATGGAAAGAATTTTTTTCTTCATAGTAGCTACTGTGTATGTATGTGTAAGCTGTGTTACATTAAATTTGAGCTTAAAACAACAATTCACACACATTAATTTAAAAAACGAACGACAGACACACAGACTGCATTTGGCCTAAAAGTATGCTATACTATTCTTTACAAACCAGCAGCCATGACGAAAAATTGCCGTTCTTAAAAATGGATTTTTGTGTGGTTTTTCATTTTCAGGTAATAGGTGCCCAGCACCGAACAGTAAGTATAATTCGGAACATCGTTGACTTCAAACGCAAATAACTCAGCGAATACTTAACCGATTCTCAAAAATTTTGCATGAATGGTTAGAGGGAATTCTGAAGTGTTATTACATATCGACGCTCAATATAAATACGCATGTTATATAGGAGAAAATTAGCATTATGTGAAAGTTTGGAGATATTAAAATATCGTCAAGTTTTTTTGGTTAAATGTTAACAAAGCTCTATAGTCGATTGGGGCAGACTGTGCTACATCGTATATAAATGAGAGATTATTAGAAAAGTCTATGTCCTGACACATAACTGACGTTTTTATATAATATGGAATATAGTAAAAAAAAAAATAAAAATAAAAAAATAAAAGATCGGGAACATAGGGTAGCCCTTTTGCAATTTGATGTTCTTCAGGAATTATCTTTGTGTGGCTAAAGGGAACTATTGATTGTCATTAAAATTGCAATATTCATATTTTGAAACTGATTACTACTTTCCTCCAAAAAAGTAATACACGATTTTTTTTTAATTTCTATTGTTTATTTGTCGTTGTGTTTTTATTCGCTATTCGATCTAAAATACTAAATAACAATAAAATAAGACTTATTACGAATTGAAAGCGTATAAAATTAATAAATTAGAAGAGTAATTATTGTCTTGTCTTTTTTTAATCTAAATAAATACACATGAGTATACACTCTTACTTCGAAATTTCGGAACAAGTCCACATAAAATGTTATAAATACTTGATTATTGTAAAATATTACCCCATTTTCAAAATTTTGGATACAAAGAAAAAAACTTAAACCGAAATAATGAAAATGAGGTGTGTATTAATTAAAAACTTGTACTTGGTAGTTATAAACAAAAAACACAGCTAATTTTTGGTTTGAAAACATTTTTAAACTACGTTTTAGAACTCTTTGGAAAGAAATATATTAAAATTTCGTCTCGTTCTCCCATTTTTTTCTGTGACATGGAAGTTTCCTTTGTTATTGTTTATAAACTAAACAGTCTTAATTAAATTTACAAATTATCTAATGTGTAAGGTACATCTAAAATACTTAGATAGATTGGCGTTAGCATTTCTTGGGGAAGAATACATTCATTTCGATCAAGATCTGCAACACTATGAATACGGTATAGACTGTGAGTAAAATAGCGCCTAGTCGTTTGGTGAGACGATAGCCGGTAAAGCTGAGACCAAGGAAAAGCGCCAAAGTACAAAGCATCAAAATGAATATGCTGTACTCGATGCCCTGGGCAGCGACATTGATCATGTTTTGAGCTTCGCCAAAATGAATGCAATTTTTAATGAACCATGGTACACCCAATGACAAGAGAATGGCCAAGGAGTTGGCACCAAGAGAATTCGATACACCAATACCACTTTCACCTATGGGAACGGAATTATTAGTCAGTACATCATTACTTTCAAGGTTGTCTGAAATACTTACCATTTCTTAGAGATATTACACTGGAAACAGCTTCAGGTGTTGTGGAACCAGCAGCCAAGAAGGTGAGACCCATAATAATTGTTGGTACTCCAATTGCAACACCTAATCGAAGATCGAATTAATTACAAATATTCTAGTAAAAACAGACAGTTGCTTTCTTCACATACCGAAGGCTGTTAAGGTCCAGACAATCATGTAAGCATTAACGCCAATACAAACGATGCACATTATGAACGAAAGTGGATACAATTTACGGTACTGGACTGGATGAGGAATAATACATCTCAGGACAAATTTAATTGGGAATGTGAATGCCCACCAGAATTTCATGACTTTAGATTCACCGCGAGGCAATGCGAATAGTTTAGCTGGCAGTTCCATAGATGCTTCTTCGCCATCCCCTAGTACACAATGCGGAAAGAAGTTAGTTATTGGAAACCTCAAGGCCTAATTTCAATATGATTATTATACTTACAGCTCTTGGAGTGTGTAAGTTGGACACGCGACGACATGGAATTGGTATTTTCTGGTAAGTTAACCACAAACAAACCATTACCAGTCAATGGATCCTTTTTCAAAGGCAATTTAGCCTTGGCACTGTTCTCTGGAGGTTCGGTGAGATCTGAAAGAAATTTAATAAAGACAGGAAAATTAAATTGAAATATTCGTCATACAGAAGAATGTTAGGGATTCTCATACCGTATCTTGTTGAGATGCAGCAATTCAATTTGTCTTCCACAAATACTCGTATGGCAGGCATGAATTTGTTGTTGTTGAACGTAACCAAATAATATATCACCAGGAAGCCCATCATTACACAGGATTCCACAAATGTAATGTTACCACCCCAAGCCAATACAATTAGAATAATTGTATTCAAGCCATAGATGAAACAATCGCGTACAATGGGCCACCAATCCAATTGGACAGGCTACAAATGAAGAAATGATGATGACGTTATCAAAAATAAAATAAAAAGAAATCCAGGGATTTGCTATTACCTTGTTGATGGCCAATGCAGCCACACTGGCTACGCCCAGGGTGTTGAACATAAGTGATCCGATAATTGTACCCAAACCCATATCCGAGTTTGTTAACAAGGTACTGATGGTGTTGGTAAAGAATTCCGGCATAGATGTGGCGGTGGCCATAAAGGTGGCGGCAGCCACATCTTTGGACAAATTCAAATCCTCACAAATACATTCGACGGTGGGTAAGAAATAGTCATTACAAATAGTGGCCAATAAAATAAAGAAGTAAATAGCGCCAAAGACATGCAGAACAACCCAGCCTTGACGCAATTGTTCAACTGGAAAGAAAAGATATCAAAAACAAAATAAATTAACTGATACGAATCTAGCTTTAAAATTATTTTCAAATTTGTCGAAATTAGTTGTCAGGCTATGAGTTATCACAAATCAATAACAAATACAAGTTATCTTCGATTAACGAATCTCCTGTTTTTAAATCACTGCTCCAATCGCTTCACGTGATTTGAGATTTCCTAACTTGGCCTCCCTGGCTAGTTACTAGGTCTTGTCATTTTAAAAAATAATTAATTTGTTTGGTTATAAGTTATCAAAAATGTTGCCGCCATTTTAAATATTTTAAAATTGTTTTTTTTTTTTTTCGAAAAAAAAATTGGTGACGAGTTAATATCAGGAACACTTGACTCCCTCCAATTGACTCCTCAGTAATCAGGGCTGAGATATGTTATCATATAACCGATAACTTCAACTTCTTCAGAGCAAAAATATTGTTTTTGCTGCTGCTGCTGCTGCTGCAATGAGGCGACAATTATTGATGACTTATACAGAGGCATGTCTTCCATTTGTCTGTGAAGTTTTTGACGCAAGTCATATCATTAGAATATGTAGTAATTTAACCGAGATATGTACAGGCGTGGTTAGGTGCCGATTGGTTTTTAATTTAAATATTTGACTATCTTTCAAGTGGTAAAGTTTTGATTTATCGGTACGCAAAGTTTGTTAGGTGTGATTTTTACCTGTAAACAATTCTGGGAAATCGTCCAGCGGTGATGCTTCTGGTTCATCGGGACACACATCCCGGCTAACTCCGTTTAAAGCAACAAAATCTTCGAAATTTTGCAAAAATGTTTCAAAATTATTTTGTGTGTGCTGTGTCAGGGATCCATTGTTTTCTGAAAAAAAAGATATAAAAGGAGAAAAATCAAAATTATTAGTTATCTCGTATATGTGTGTGTGTGCATTTGGAATTAAGTGATAAAATTATAATCAGTCTTTTACATGAATGACAGCACAATATTTATGTATGTGCATACGTATTTTTTGGGAACATTTCATTATGTGAAAATGATTGATGGTATTACATTAATGCATGGTGTTGGACAGTTAAATGTATCGTAAAGTGAGTACAGAAGTATGTACTGTTGTATTCCATAATCTAACCGTCGGTGAGAGTGTCGTCTTCCTTACAAATGTAATAATCGAGGAGAGTTGCAAATTCTAATTCTTCAATAGATACGAGGTGAAAAACTGTTACCACTTTCGAGTTACGGCTGATAGTCTGTTACCACTAGTTCTAGTTTCTGCGGAACAATTATCTTGCCAAAGGTGTGGTTGTTGGCTGAGAGGCGTCGTGCAACTGACAATTGAAATAATCTCAAAGCAATCAACAAAAGGGGAAACCATATATCGTATATTTATCTAATACAATTCATTGTCATACCATTTCTTAGTGATAAGTGCTAGCAGAACGCAAGTGTCTCTAGAAACTGGTGTTTAAATTACTAGGCAATGACACATAGAGTTATAATTATTTAAAAATGGTCAATTAATTCAATTTAATAGTAAATTAGATTAACGTCGATAGACTTAATAAGAAAGATAGTAGTCGGATTGTTTTTTTTAAAGTTTAATTTATACATTCCTGGGAAAATATTTTCTAAGAATTTTTCTATTTGAAATGTGAAACTTTTGAACTATTTTAACGATTTATTGATAATTATAGAGATATTTTTTATAGAGACGTAATGTATAATATGCTGGACAGATTTCTTTTGAAATGCCGTATTAAAAATGAGGTGCATTTTGGGACCGTTAGCTGCATCTGCTGCACTTGAGAAATATAATCAAAAATACCATTTCTAAGGGAAATGAAACATAAATAATTTTGTTCCACACTATGGCTTGTTAGACGAGACTTACTTCGATAGGAAAATAAAATAGTTTGTATCCCGACATTAAATGGCTGATCGAAATTAAATAATTTTAATTTTACTAAACTGCAAAAAGGAACAATATTTAAAATTGTTTTACCGAGAATTTTCGAATTCTATTTTGGTTTTTTTAATAGGGACGGTCAAGATCTGTTAATAAGGTCACCCAGCAAGCGGAAGCCCGCTGTTTTTTCTCAAGTATAATGTCAACAATTTGAATTTTTTTACGTTTTCATAATGAATGTAAATACACAATAATGGTTTCCCTGGATGACCATATTAATAGGCCTTGGGGATAATGGTGCTGAAATGTCGTATCGTAGTAAAATGAATAATTGGGATTCTTTGAGTATATGTATGTTAATAAAAAGCTCGTTATCTTAAAACCATATCCTTTTATTAATAATAAACTATATTAGAAATTTATTTAAAAATTACCTAAGGTAATTGATAGCTAATAAACAGAATAAATGTTCTGTCTATTGTATTGACATTCTGTCTATTGAAAAAATTAGTATCTGCTGTTGTTTTTATTTACATTTAAACGATTTATTGGGCGAATTATTGCAACTTAGCCGCAAGATATGAACATTTATGTCCAGACTGCCTGTAAACTTTTATTGATAATTAAAGTTAGAATGGTCATTGCATTATTTTATTTATTATTGAATAAAAAATAGTAAAAAGTAAACAAAGAGATATCGTCCTGGTAAAGACATTTTTTGCGGAAAATGTGTAAAACACTATATTTTTAAATATTAAATAATATGATCCCATACATTCAAATGATCCCTGGATTCAAATAATTATTCAAAATTTTAAATAATTATTTTATTATTTAATATCTTGGTATTGATTTTGCAAAGCAATTATTAATTTTCTGGTATGAAACCAACATTAATAATAATTAATTTAACGACATTACCGATTAAAATTAGTAAAATAAGCCGAAAAATGTTGCAAATATTGATAGCACGCAAAAAACTAAGCCATCCGTCATGGTTCTTGAAAATGAAAAACAAAATATATACTCTACCTGCCACCAAACTGTATACAATTTAACAATTGATAACACTTTGAGGAAATTTTTAAATTCACTCCATTATCATTCATCATTTTTCTATTAAATTAAATAATTTTTTTTTTTGTAAAAGTTTATAATTATTTTAGTATTTTGTCAGTATTTATTGACATTTAAAGGAGAATTGCTTTAGATAAGTTAATTGTTCTTTTTAAATGGGCCATATAAAATACCATAAAGCTCTAAAAAGCAAAGCAAATTACCGAAAACAATGAAAATAAAAACAAAAGTCTGTCTCCATACATTCCAGACACTTTACCGATCAATTATGTGGCATAAAATTAGACGAGAGAATGAAATAAAGAAATGTCTGCCAGACTATCGTCTATTTCGGTGGAAATACCTTTTTCTCCAGATACAAAGTTTATGAGACTCGATAAGAAGTTATTGCGCAAAGTGTAAACAGTTCGAAATTAATCATGCGATTATTTTTAGAGATTTGCTAGGAAAGGTAGGTCAGTTTTGTTAGGGGGAAAATAATGACGAGCATTGCTTCCACTCCAATAAGGAAATAGTGTGGGTACTTTACCATCATTATTTACCATAAAATGTTATGGGTACTTTTATGACAATATGCTAATATTGTTTTGTGATATCGAGGCTACCGATAGTAAAATAATTAAGATAATGGGAATTTGATTGTTTTGGAGATAATTATTTTTAGATAATTATATCCTTATAAAAATTCTCAGATTCTTAAAAAAACTATTCCATAAATATTGCGAATAATAATCAAAATTATGGAAAGACAACTCCAAAATAATAAATAAATATTTTAAACAAAGAATTTTGCAACTTATCTATTCCTTTTTAGTTAAACACATTATTATTTGAATTTTATTGTAGTCTTTGAGCTTGATTTGTTACCATCATTGCGGTCATTAACATATAATTTCGCACATATATATTTTTATTAAAACAAAATCACGTTATTGTATTTTGAACAAAAGCCAATAAAATTGTCGAAACTGTAACAATTTGCGGCTGCCTAGAACGATATTTGTAAACAAAATAAATTTTATTTTCAAAGATTACCTCAAAGGTGCATAAAAAAGAAATCAATGCCATGGTTCAAACGTTGGTTGCAAGGCAGGGGTGGGGGCAAAAACAATATATGATGATAGCACAAGTAATATTTTCATGTCATGACTTTTACAAAGTCTTTGTTAATTAGAATAAATATTTATTGGAACTATAAAAATGTATTTTAATTTTATAATATTGAGAATATAAAAAAGTATTTACCCACAAAATACCACCACCTTCTCCAAGGTAAATCCATTTTTTAAACTTTGTTTAAGTAATCGTTTATTTATTTATTTATTAAATTAATCACATTGACTAGGATGTCTCGTTATTGGACTCATATTTGGTTTTTTAAATGAGTTATTAATACCATTAGCCAATACTAATAACACATTTTCTTCTTTTAGTTTATTGGTTTTGAGACGAGAATAGTGATTGTGGTTGATTTTTGCCTTTAGTTTGATATTATTTTGTAAAACGATTAATTATTATGCTTTATTTACAATTATTATTACTTTTTTTCAATTCATTACCACAAAGGCTAAAACAATTTTATAGTGTACACTCACACAGCAATGTAATAATATCTTTTTTTTTTTTTTTGTTTTTTGTTTACACTGGAAAATGATTTTTATGTTCAAAACTCATGCCAACAATAACAACAACGAAGTAAATACTTCAATTCTTAATTTGTGTATGCCGTTCGCGATTCACGTACTCTTCATATCTGGTAAATATTCCAACTCAATTTGATACGATCCGAGTAAACGACAGAGAGATATCGATCGATCCGCTATCGGTCTGATTGACTGTTGAGCATTTCAAGTGTAAATAAACCTTTACTTTAAACTTATCGTTAGTTTTATACGTCAACGGCAGACTAAAATAAAAATAATTGAAAAAAAAAACCGAAATTCAAACTCAAACTGAACTTTGTGCAAAGGCAAAACAAAACCAGACACTAGACTAGACAATAAGGCACATGCGCTGGCGCAAGAAAACCAAAACAATCTTAGCTACAACAACAATTAATAAAATAATAAAAAAAAAAAACAAAACAAAAACAATTGAAAAGCAAATGTTATTATCTACTTAGAAGCTGAATTTCCCCGTCGAATATGAGTTTCTTGAAATTTATTTATACAAAAACAAAAGTACAAATATAAAAGCTTTTTTGACAACACCATGGACAATCGGTTAATATTTTCGTTCAATATTTATTATGAGCATGATTGGATATTCATTTTGTAGATCAAAAGTTATAAATATACAATTGACATATTTGTCTTAAAAGATCATTTCAAGTATCGAATTTGAAAAAAAATCTGCTAATTTTTAATTCTTTTTTTCGAATTTCTACTATTAAATTTTTGGATTTCAAAACTGTAAATTGAAGAATGAATAACCTAAACAAGTTATTTGACATACGATTGACCCATTCTCCACTTTCTTCTCCTATTAACTGATAATTTATTTTAAAATTGATTTTCTCATACCAAAAAAGTGCTTACAATGCAGTTATATTAAAATTAGGACACTCATGTCCGAATTTTGGAAAAATGTTGGAAACAGTGTAATAAATTTGTAATGATGATTTTCAATATCAATGTGATTATTTCGGGGGAATTTATTTCTTAGCCATCTCATAATTTATTGACTGTTTATAATAGTTGCATGCTTATATATTTTTATGTTGATTAGGGTGGTTCACCATGTACACATTATAACGATATATTAATTTTTATTTTTAAAACACAAAGTAAAAAAATTCTTTTTTCCTTAAAAAATCGGGGTTTCTTTGTTTTTATAAATATGATCCAGTTTATAAATGGCAGCAATATTTAATCATAACATTGTTTATTATATTCTTGTGTATGTCATCTATATTATTAATATTCATTTGCATATCAATTACTGTTTATCATTAAAAAATATATATATATATATATATATATATATATTTCAAGATCAAAACAATAAAACATTTGTGTAAATTCCAAAATAAATTTAAGCTACTTGAAATATTTCTTTTCATTCAAAAAAATAAAAATATCGGGAACGAGTATACAAAATGTAACATTCACTAGGTATTTCCAAGTTAGATCGTATAAAGTATACGGAAATACCTGCAGGAATATATTAAATCATATATTCGAAATTTGTTTTTATGGAATTTTGAGTAATTTTGCCTGTAATATTATATATATATATTCTTGACACTAACATCTTCATTTAATTTATTATAATTGTTGATTGAACTTTAATTGTCTAAACAAAAGCCAGCTGGCTCCTAAAATATTTCTATGTATTTATGTATATTTTCACATCATATCAGTATGTCGATTGGGGGTGTGAAAAAAATAATTGAATTTTTCTTTTGTTTTATATATTTATATTGTTGTTGTATTCTATGCGGTTTATTTGATTTGTTGATTTATCAAAGAATTGCTAAAGCAAATAAACAACATGATTATTGCGTGACACGTGCTGTGGTGAGAATTAATGTTTTGCCGGTCGGCCGATTATAAAACACTCAATTGGCTGAAAATACTTGAAATATTCAAAGTTCAATTGTTTGGGGTTTTTTACTATTGTTGGTCGTCTTTTTTGTTGATGAAAGATCTTGAAATAATATATTTCTAAAGAATTCAACATTGAATTTTAAATATGAAAACATAATTGTTTGAAATGCAATTTTGTTTGCAAGACATACAAAAAAAACAAAAAAATTGAAAAGAAAAAAAAATACCTTATCAAGAAAATAGTTTAATGGAAATCAATAAATGGAGTTTACTAAAATCCCATTTGAATCAATGCAACATTGATTAAATTGCCATTGACATTCACATTGAAACTGAGCTGCAAAACAAAAATCCCCCACTTCAGGTGGTTTACAGGTGTAGGCCTAGCTAGCATATCTACCTGACATAAGTCGTATACATACATACGTATACGTATGTTTGTCCGATACCTTATCAATTTTTTACGATTTACTGTTGTCGTGTCTGTTGTACAACTTCGATGTAATGAAGCTATTTGATTTAATTATTATATGTTTTACTTCTACAAAGAGTTACACAAAAAAGTTCCCCTTACAACCAGTAAAACATTTAGATTGTATCCTTTGGTTAGGAGTGATAGTAAATTTAATGATATAATTGTTGAAATAATTGGTAATAAAAGTTTTACAAAAGATTAAACCACGGTGGTAGAACATGTGATAAGAATTCGATATAGGAGCACTTAGATTTTAAATAAAGAGGCACTTACAAAAATACGAAAAACATCATGACTTTTATTTTCTTTCTCTCTGTACTCTTAGACGAATTTTAACATTCCGCACTTTTCCTAGTTTTACTATTAAAAAACATTAATAAACGGTACTATTGTTGGAAATTTGACATAGTTGCATTTAAAATTATTGAAATGTATTAATATTATTAAAACTAAATACAACACCCTTTTTTACTGAAAACTAAAAGTTTCCATCTGTTCAAAAAGCGTGAATGCTATCTAATTTCAGTTTAAAAATGTTAACACCTTGACATCTGCCTTCAATAATTCCCCTTTTAATATTTGAAAATGCATTACAAATTTATTCGTTAATTTTGTATAGACCCTTTTGTTAGAAGGGCTTTTAATTAATTCAATTTTAAACTTTGGTAAATAAAATATTGCAATGACGATGTTTTTTTTTTTCAAACGAAAAAAAAAAATAGGAGGAGATACGACGTAAACGTTCTTAAGTGATGGGAATTTTTGTTTTGCTGTAATTGCAATTCCCAAAGCGCGTTGAGATAACCAAAGTAACTGGCAACAAATGTTGGGCGCCAAAACAAATAGTAAACGTAATTTGTATACTCCGTACTCAGACGAGAGTATCTATCTATATAATTCCCATACAATGCAATTGGAAATTTATTGATAAATATTGTCTTGTTGTTGTTCTTTGTATTTTTGTATTTCATCTTTATGAACTTTGAAATAAAACAAAAAAACTTGGTAATTTACAAGGCCAGGTAATTGATGGTGGATAGACTTAATTACTTTTATTTAATGGTTATTCCATAGAAATTTCTCTTGCATAATTATTTTAAAATCTAACATATATTAAAAAATTATTATGTAGATAGTTTTTTTGGGTTTCTAGAATCCAATTAGCAAATTTCTTAAATACATAACTCGATTAGAATCATTTAATAAAGTAGCTTTGTTAATTGTTCGCGTATTAATTACAAATACATAAACGTCAGCACCTATTTGTTCTTCTTGGCGAATTCTAAGAAAATTAAGTATTGTCGTTGCGGGGATATACCCCAAATCACATAGAATCTTTGCCATTTCACCTACTTTGCTATCAACCAAAATATTAATGATTTAATCGGTTATTGTTTTGAGTTGGCAACATTAACGTTTCCTTTGAAATAATTATTTATTTTTTCTGTACTTTTAAGTATTATTATATCATTTAAAGTGTATATTAATAAAAATAGAAAATCTAATTTTGCTTTATCATTGCTATCAACGAAAAAGCAAAAAAGGCTAAAAAATCGACTTTTGTAGTTGTTATTGTCATTTCTCGTTTTTGACAAGTACTTAAGTTGTAGTTGTTGGAATTTTATTCTGAAAAATGACTTTATATTTTTAACTTTCCTATAATAGCTAATTTACTGTCATCATATCTACATAGCGTAATTGGAATTTACCATAAATTGGTTATTCTTATAAATTAACAATTAAAAATCTAATTTGGCTGAAAATCCAAATGGTCTTTCTAAATATTAAATTAAAATTTTCACTTAAAAGTCTGTGCATACATGACATCTCAAAATTTAATTTGAATTTCCAGTGGAGTATTAGGTCTTGGTAGTGAATCATGGATATTACAAATTCAAATAAATGAAAATTGTTGTATAATCCAATAAGCCAGATACGAATGAATGGGTCATTTATGAACCAGGATTGAGAATAATAGGAGTAGTGTTCTTAAAATATTTTAAATTTTAATTTAATGAAAACATTCCACAAAACTAGAATTACAACTTTGAAGTAAATTTTTCCATTGTTATTAGGATACCACGATAAATGATTGTTGACGTCTTGAAATGCGTATATTAAAAAATAAAATATTGGCTAATTTATGAATATATGAATTCGTACATATATTGTATGAAAAAAACTTCTTCTGTTAAGGAAAACAAATTTCCCAAATTGCTCCCAAAATTATGACCCAAAGAAGAAAAAAATTGGATATAGAACTTTTAAAGCATTTCATATGATGACGGAATAAGTTTTCCGTCGGCAGTTGTATACAACCCCGAAATACAAACAAATGATTTTTTGATCTGCTATTTCAGTTTTTAATATGAGAAAAAACACTGTATCAGGTCAAGACTTCCACTTATAAATATTAAATTAAATGAAATCAATTGTATATGTTAGAAAAAATCTTAAAATGCTTGTATGTTAAACTCACCATTAGATCCATGGACAGCTGATGGATGGGCAAATATTAAAAATAGCACAGCCAAGTGCAGCATACATTTCGTAAACATGCTTCAATGTAGTTAATTTTATTTATTATTGGACAATATTTTTTTTTCAATTTACTTTTCAAAAATGTTTTCGATTTCAGAAAACGCTTGGAGACGAGAAGCAAATTGTTTTCGTTTCGTTTTATTTTTTTTTTGTTCACCGAACCAGTATCACCGTTACACAGCTTCCAAAATAAACAATACAAGCTTTAGTCTTAGCTTAGTGAATTTTAACACCAGTATGTTTTAAGCTTTTGTCGAAGCTTTTCAAAACATGATTTTTCGTTGCAAATTTTCACCGTTTCCGCTTTCGGTTTGGGCACAACGAACTAACCGGAAATTCAAACCAGTTTTGTTTATTTCTTCTTGTTTTGGAAATAAACAAAAGTACAAGAACCGTCTATGGTTTGGCGTCTACGGCGCTGGTATTCATCGATTTTGTCTTATCAACGACGTTTTGTAAATCCGCAAATTTTTCTAACATAACCAATTGTGTTTAATTTACAACGTTTAACTGTTTTTGGTTCTTTTTTTTACCACACCGCGTCTACTTTTCTGTCGGAAATCAGGACAAACGTCTTTACGGCCACTATTGATGAGAATAAAATCAGACCGTGTTGTTTTATTAATTTTATACTCGGCCAACTAGCTAGCTGGCTGGCTATCGGCAGCGTTTATACTGAGCAAGTGTTGGTGGTCGCCGTGGTTGGCTGATATCTGTCTGTCATCGGTTTTTTGTTTTTCGAATGATTACGCACAGTTCGTTAACTCGTAAGCGACAATCGTGCGACCACCGATTTGCCAGCCCTCTCAAGTTGATCGGTATTATCGGTTGGACCGGAGACATTTTAGCGATATCAGTTGTAGATAAATTGGGTCCGCCAAAAAGGAAAACAAACAAAAACGAAACATCCAAAAACAGTAGTAGTAGGAACAATAACTACAGCAAAACGAATTTGGAGAGTGAAATTATTTGCGCAGAGTATTGCCGACAATGTGATAAAAGGCCCATCAATCGGAGGGGCAAAACTGATTTTTTTTCTAATTTCGGGAGATTTGGTATTATTGATATATGCCCCATTCAATTCTCCAGTTAAGATTTGCCATTGACATAGCCGCACCAAGAAAAGTTGTATTGAAATAAATACCCCTAAGAAATGGAAATAAAAATATTTAGCGATATGTCAAAGACTTCAACAGTGACGCATTTAGATCGCTATAAATCACTGACGACTGGAGGTGTCTTCGTATCTTATGTTATCGCTTTGCGCTTGATTTTTTTCGAATTGTATGATAGCCCCTAGTGGTGTTAGGTGGTCAAAAATCAGCGTAATAGCTGAAATTTTAGGTATCAATAAATCTTTTGCTACAGGTGCAATTTTGATAAGGAAACAAGAAAATGTAAATTCTTAAATAAGCAAAATGGGGGGGGTTGAGCAATTTGTAAGGAAATATGTTCAATTGAATATACATACCTACATTGGAAATGGCCATAGATAGGCAGTCCAAATTAATGTTGTTATGACAAATGATGTCTCCCAAAGCAAATATTAAGTCGCGATTTTGACAGATGAGGCCCTGCAATAGAAATTAATAAAAAAGAAAATAAAAAACTTTGTGGCAATTCGTACAAAATTCGTGAGGAGAAATAAATTTTTGTTTTCATTCTTTTTTAATTTGACTACAATTTTTGCTTGTTTTCGGGGTAATTCAAAATTGCAATAATACAGTATTGTTTCTATTTTTTTTGGAATTTTTTGGAACATTTAGTAAAACATCTAGTAAAAAATACTCAGTCAGTAAAAAATACTTAGCTCTCGCACGTAAAAATATTACAAAAATTTATGGCTGTCATCCAGAATGTGAATTTTTCTCAGTGTCATTTGAGCTGACTCATTTTGTTAGTAATTTACTAACTTATTAAGCTAACCTCGTTCATAGAGATAGAAAATAAATTTATTTATTACTTATATTAATGCTTATGGTTTATTTTATCATTGTTTTATTTTTTGTTGAATAATTTATGCACAATTCTAATTTAAACATTTCCACCGAACGATATCTATGTCAAAATCGTAAATAGATTTATGATCTAAGAAGCAGCAGCCACCATCACCACCAGCAGTGTTAGTTCGATGGAGGCAACATGTGAAATATCGCTTATCTGGTGGTTTTAAATTCCATGAATGGCTAGAATCAATCGATGATTGTATGACTAATATAGAAATCCTTCAAGGTCTATTTCCAAAATAGTTTGTGGTTATGAATGCGACTGATGACAAATTCCATCTTTCACAATTAATCCTTGGCTTATTGATTGCATTCATTTACTTGTAATATAGAGCCGTTTTTATAAAAGAGATAATAAAATAAAAACATGTTTCGGCATAATTAAAGAGGGATTTATTCAAAGCCCTTGGTATAATTGATTGTTGATATTCAATGATAAGCCATGTTCATTCGATACCCAGTAGACATATTTTTTTTTTGCATTGACTTCTTTATCAGCACCTACCATGGTTTGATAGATTGTTGTGCCAATAAACTAAATTCGCCAGAGTACCTAAATCTAAACGAGAAGTGATCCCATTATCGGTAGTAGCCTAATTGTGTTAATGACACTTTGACAAATCATAAAAAATAGGAATAGACTTCATTTATTATTTTGTTGGCATTCGAATCTCATGTGAACCCTGAGGGGTGGAATAGGAATTTGTGTTATGTGGGTGGTGATGGTGTCGGCATTAGTTACAAATCCCAAAAATAAACATCAAACGAAATAAATTTCCGTGGGAAATAAATTGAAATTCTTGGAAGAAAAAAAGATAATTTTTTTTGGCAAAAAATAGATAATTACTCATACATTGTCAGTTACAATTAGATCTAAAGAACCTGGATACAAACACGTAATATACTCGCACGGGTCATAGGAATGTAAAACAGACACATTAACACGCTAAATGACGTTTTATGTCTAAAACTATTCTTTCAAAATATTCTGAATTTATTTTTCCTCAAATAAATGTTTCGAATACGGTACTACTGTATAATAGGTAAAATTTATTATTATTTACTTAATCTCAGATTACCCCACAATTAACGATTCGATATGTTTGGTAGTCTCTTAAGTACCAAGAAACCTAAGGCAGATAAACATCATGAAAAAACAAGCTTCTCAAACGATCAACACTAAAACTTAACGATGACAAGTTAAATTAAAATATCACTTATAAGAAATCACGGCTAATTATCTAATCTGGCTCATCTATCGACAAATCCTCGTCATGTGGTAGTTTTGAAGAGTTTCAAAATGGCCATTGCTCTTTGAGCAGACTGATCGTCCACTTTTCTCTTAATTGGCGTAAGAAGGCACGTGCGAAAGTATTTGTCTTCCCAGTTTCTTTTGTTTTGCAAAATCGACAGCGTTCGAAATCGGATTTTGATTACATTTTCAAATACTCTTGAACTTCACCATGGTCAAATGATAACATTATATAATATTCTTTATAAAATATTCGTATTTATCTGGTATACTATCACTTTTAAATTATTAATAGATTATAAAGACAATTTGTTGTAGATAATTTTGTTGTATACTTTATAAACAAAGATATTAGATGAAAATGGAATTCTAATGAATTTTTGATAAATTTATATATTTATTTGTATTCGAGAAGAACGCCTAACATTTGTTTCAACGTTGAACAACTCTTTACGGAGTTCAATTTTTTCTGCTTAAAAAATTATTTGAAAATCAAATTTTCTACTGAATTGTTCTTTAATGATATATTTTTCTTAAAATTAATATTTTACTAACATTATTCGTTTCTTCCTTATAAAATAAATACTTAAAAACAACTACGGTCTAAAATTAATGCGGACAAACGGGTAAATTGACAGGGAAAAATACATTCAATTGCATTAACGTTGTTAGAGTCATTATAATAATATACAGTATCAGACAAGAGAGGCCAACTTTCCGATTTAATGTAAATTTGTTAAGTACAAAGATAACATAGAGGGCCACCAATGATGTCAACAGAGCAACACTGGTAAATGTTAATCCTTTGGAATTTAATGTTACCGCCGATTCTTGTGGATCATCTGGTGAAAAATAGGATTTAACCAGCCATGGTAGACCTAAACAAAGTAAAATGTCAAATGTATTCGAACCGAGGGAGTTACTAAGACCTTTTGAAGCCTGTCCTTGTCGTGTCACTATAATACTACATATTGCTTCCGGTATACTCATACCAGCAGCCAATATAGTGAGTCCCATGACAGAGTCGGGGATAAACAGGGTATCACCTAAAAAATAAAATTAAACAAATAAATTAACAATTTAAAAAAAAAGAACACGGAAACCGAATACAACGAACGATCCACGATAACATTTTCACGGTAACATCGACTTCGATCCAAAATATTTGTGGTTACAATTTAATTTTCCAAAATACAATGAGAATAGAACGATTGTCAGCACATTTTGGTTCTTATTAGCCAATCAAATGTCGAATTAGCCACTCTGAGTGACCAGTACTGTCTAGCAAAGAAATCGTAAAAATAGTACATAGTTTCTTCAACAAAACATTTATCAAAAATGTATCAATTGTACAATGTTATACCATAATTACATTAGGCAATTTTTCTTAAGGGCGGGAGAGGCGAAGTGTTTTGCCAAACCCCATTCACTCTCTCAACGAACAAACTACAGAATTAAGACAATTAAAATTGCTTAATGTAAATCTGGACGAAATTATTTATTTTTTTTCTTCAAATTTATTTTCATTCAATCGTAGAAATTCAATCATATCCTGATAGAATCGTGGGAATACAATTTAACTAAATATTCCCCATATTTCAAGTATTCGCCTAATTTTTATAGTTTATTTTGCATATAAACCGAATACACTGCCCACAAATATATCGCTTAATTGGCAATACAGTTTGTATGGCACTATGACCATTAAAAATAAATGCGACTATGTTTTCCAAAACCAAGTTATCAATACTTTTAAATCTCTTTAAAGTCTAAAGGCTCTTTTGGGGGTGTGCGAAGCGATAAGATTGTTGGCCTGTGACTGCTTCAACTTCGTCGGTTCCGATAAACAAATTACCATTTATAATACTTACCAATAATTGTTATACCAAATGCTACCACATAGGACATTATGCCGGTCCATAAAATAGTCAACGTCAATGTTATATATTTGAGTGAGTGTCGTTGCCGGCAATTGGGCACGGTCAACCATAAAAGTGCAGTTATGGGCCAGCGGAATATAAACTCCACTTTTGAGTATCCCTCACAAGACCAGGGCGATCTGATGTTTTCTATACAAAAAAAAAAAAGTTTTTCTTAGCTGAAGATGACAATGTATGTGCATGACAGTTGAGTACGTACCTTCTTTTTCTTGTTGCTCCAAATACAACATCATGTGTGATGAATGCAGACCCTTTTCCAAATTCAAATATGCCTCTGTGGCAAGACTAAATTTCGAATCATTTTTTGGCAATAGTGGTGTAAATTCACAAACTTCCTGATACTGAGGTGTGTGCAGGCCACATGTTTGTAAAAGTCGTTTAGCTGTTGTGGACATTTTCTGGTTGTGATACATGACTGTATGTATGGAAAAAAGAACACACGCTTAAAAATTGTTGTACAATTTTCTCCAAGGGCAGTTGTTTTGAACTTACCCAACATATATACGAAATATGCTATAATTAAGCCAAAAGCTTCATACCACAAAACCTTGCCATCTTTTAGAATGCCAAGTAACGTTAAGACGGCAGCAAGATATACTAAACAGTCTCGAGTAATTGGCCACCAATCCAATTTTAGATAGCTAAGAGCAAATAGTCCACAACAGGCTGGCACAGCCAAAAGATTGAATACGGCTGAGCCCACAATTGCACTCACTCCAATGTCTCCCTTGGTGATAAAGGTACCAACGACATTCATAAATAGTTCGGGACTAGAGACCGCCGCTGCCATAACAGTAGCTCCAATTACATCTTCGTCAATTTTGAAATCTGTAAGAGAATATAAAATTAAATTATTAAATTTAATTAAAATTAAAAAATAAAAATTTTATTCTAAAATTAATTAAAATCTTTTTGATATTCTTCAAATTCTGTTCCATTTCAATGATTTAACTTACTCGAACAAATCTGCTCAATACTTGGCACCATATAATCATCACATATTGCTGCCAGAAACCAAAACCCATAGAACACCAACACAATATGTATGATTATCCAACCGTGTAGACGTTGTTCTCGATTTAAGCCATCAGAGGGAAACTCCAAGATTGCAGGAGGTGTACAATTGCCAAAATCCAAATCATAATCCACTGATAAAATTTTGCGATTATATGAACTTTGAATCCATGCTGTAATATTTGGAATTTTTTAATTTAATTAAATTGTCATTATTATCAAAACTTTCATACAATTTTCGTTTTCATTCAAATCCTCTGCTGTACCCATCAGCAAGTAACGTAAATAGAACAGAGTTAATATCCCAAATATCAACACCATTCTCAAGATGAATATCATTTTCGTCAATTTCCATTTTGAATTGATAATGGATCGTTTTGAAAATGTCATATTGAATTATTGTTTTGCTGCTGATGCGAATGCGTTGCCACCTCTATCGGAAAAAGATCGTTGTCTCACTGAACGTCTGAATTCTATGAATGCAAACCCTCGTGCCAATTGCAGTCACTTATGTACGCACGCATGTGATTTGATGTTGTTTTTATTTCTAAAGGGAAAATATTTATTGTTTGTGTGTGTGTACATTTCTGTAAAGAAAACAAATTTCCGTCAAATGGCAAATAAATGATAAGTCTTGTTACAGAATTACACATTTTATGGAAAATTTCCAGAAACGGATTTTTTGGCTGCTGTCAAAAGTTAAACCAGATTCAGGTAGATACTTTGTATGGAATCAGGTAGTAGTTTTAGGTTATAGGTAGATTCAAGGGGAATTTAAGATAATTCTGGAAATTTTTATTTAAAGAAAAATTATAATTCGAAGAAGAATTCTTCCGTTTTATAATGAAAATGCCAGTATCAATTTTGACATCCCTACTAAAAACGAATTATTGTAGTGTAGACTGTTGATCGGTCTAGCATATTTTCTTCATAGTCATTCACCACAAGTATGTGCTTAGGCATCCTTACAAAAGTGTAGTTTTCAACCAGACTGTAAATCGCTCTAAAATCTTTACATGTATTCCATTGACAACACTTCCAAGCTATTCAAAAAATCCCCAGAAGATCGAAATTGGCATCCCTATATAAAATTGCATTTTTCCAGTTTTGTTTAGCATTTATTAGGTGTTTGACAAATGTTTACATTTTCAAACATATTTACTTACGATTTGGAGCTAAATTTAAACTATGTTTATAAATCAATCATTATGGGGAGAATTAACGCCGAGGGAGAGAGGATGTCCCTTATCAGTAGTAAAACTAATCAAATCAAAAGCGGCTAGTAAGTACATGTCCATAAAAACGTAGCGTGTGTCCAACTAACTAACTAACTAAATGTGGTCTGAGAGTATTGTTTTCTTTTGCAAAACAAATTTGATTATACAAAACTGTATAAACAATTCAAAATCATTTGTTAATCTTGAACGAATGAAAAATTAGCAAAATATTATTCTTTTTCTCTCTCGCGCAGTGCAACGCAAATTTATGGAAACCTTTTCGCTATTGGGTGTATATTATTGATTATGACAATTAGTGGACTTTGATTATGAAATTCTACGAAGATACGTCATAATTGCCAAGAAATATGACTAGTTTTATTAAAGCAGGTTTAATGTAAATGTTACCCAAATGATCTTAAAATATCGATTTTTCGTCTTTGAAGACCCCACCTCAATTCTTACGACCAATAAGAATTTGAATTTTACTTAATAAATATAATCTCAGAACATAAATAAAATAGCTACAAATGCAGATGACGCCAAATCTATCATTTTGTCGCACAGTGTAATCAAGTGAACTGACAATATAAATTACGTGTTTTATTAAAACAGGTAAATGTCTCAAAACTGGCATTGGTAAGAATCGTTACTAAAATAGAATCAGAATGTAGGTGGCGTCTCTGTTTATACCTGATAATTGTTTATTGTGAATAGTTCATCGTTAGAACCTATATGTGCATTGTTTGAACTCGGTAATATTTTTTAGCGATATTCACATTTTTTTCTTCTAAAGATCATTGACATTTTTCCTTTTTATTTATTTAAAGTGTGATATTTTCATTCTAATAATAATTAAATCAAATGACCAAAAAATAATATTTATCTATGTTTTGATAATTTTTCTTAATTCTTCCGTAAAAAAATATTTCGATAAATTTCGTCTGGCCCAGATAATAATACAATATGACTAACTTTCATTTCACATGTTTTGCACATGTTCAGCTTTAAAAGAAATCCCCGTTGCCGAAAATTCCAGAGAAGACATTGTGATTTCATATCTAAAATCAAAAAGAAAAACTTCCCTCTTTCATTCGATTTGCGCAATTTAATGAAAGAAACCCTCTACTAAACCTCTAAAGTGGCCCACTATCAAGACCATTGGTCTATGGGTCTTAATTAAAATTAAATTACAATTTTCTAGAGGTTCTATTCCATCGTCTGTTTATATTGTATTTTTTCCTGTTCTAAATAACAAATACTAAAATATTATAATTTAATCGGGATATAAATCAAAGTCGTTGATAACAGGGGACACACATACTTGAAATTTCTTGGACATACGCATATATTTTCTATGGAAACGTTACCTCTCTGTAATGGTGGTCGTACCTGCCGCACCTGTGAATGACGTCAATTAAGAAATTCAATGACATCAGTAGCGAATATCAATTGTCGAAATAAAATTAATCGTCAAATTCCATCTTAAAACTGTCGCAGATAAGTGAAATAACTGCCGAAGAAAAAATGAAAGAAATAATTGAACGCAATAAAATGGTGAACAAAAAGACAAGGGCTAACAATTGTGTGTACAAAATAAAGGGTCGCAATTAAGTGTATTATATTCTTTTGTATGCCCTTATCATACACTAGAATGAAAATTGAACAACAGAATGAATATATATATATATATATATGTTGGTCCAATAAAAATGTTGACTGTTGTTGTATTCGGTTATGAAAATGATTGTTTTGAATTTCAAGTATAAAGGTTTTATTTACTCCAAAAACTAGCAAAGTTAAGACAGCGAAATATCGCTCTCTTCCTATTTGACGGACTAAAAATGGTAACTAGGAATGCCAATCTCTGATTTATTTAGACATCTTTACTAATATTTCGATCTGTTCAAGTATGTTGGTCCAATAAAAATTTTGACTATTGTTGTATTCGGTTATGAAAATGATTGTTTTGAATTTCAAAATAAAAATTAAAGGTTTTATTTACATTGCCATATATAAAAACATAGCAAAGTTCCTTGAAGAAAGCGAAATTTCAGCTCTCTGAGTAAATTGAAAACGGCACATTTAATAAAGAACAATTTTAAATTGAATGCCAATCTCTGATTTTTATTCATAGACATCTTGGAATAGCTGGGAATATTTGGATCTGTTACTAGCTTTAACGTAAAAAACATTTATGTGTATGTACAAAGAATTGGAAGAATTTCAAGTATCCTTCACTAACATTTTTCTTCGAGTGTATTGTTTTTTGTTTCAAACGTTAATATAAATGTCAGTAAAATAGAACGTAAAAGAAATTATTAAATAAATCGTAACGGATGGCCTTTGCTTATAATAATGACAGGGATTTCTCTTTGAGTAAGTGATCGATAATATTTTTAGGCTCCATATTTCATCAATGTTTTCAATCTCTTTTTTCAAGTTTATAAATTTTTCCATCGAAATCATGAACATATCGAAAATTGCACAATCAGTGGAATTGATGCCTTTCCCAATTGGTTTACCCAAGAAGTTATTCGTTATGACTATGTAGCGATCTGTTTTGTCATAACAATGTATTTATTTTTGGGCGTGGCCATTGTCTGTGATGAATATTGTGTACCCTCAGTGGAGAGATTGTGTTATAGTATGAGTGATGTAGTGACACGTTTTGGAAAATGTTATATGTATTTTCATTTCTCTTCTCTCGGTTTAGAATTGGATATGTCCTATGATGTGGCCGGAGCAACATTTCTGGCAATGGCCACCTCAGTTCCAGAATTTTTTGTCAATTTATATGCCACGTTTTTGACGGAAGGTGATATGGGTATTGGTACCATAGTCGGTTCTTCAACCTTTAATAGCTTAGCCATAACAGCATTTTGTGGTTTTACAGCGGCTATGGTGGTAGGAGTCACAAGCGATCTTATTGTAGGTATATCTTAAAAATTAATTTTTTTTTGCTTTCAGGGAGTCTCATTGGATTGGTGGCCACTTTCCCGTGATCTCCTATGGAATTTAATAAATATAATCTTATTAGGCATATTTATCTATGATGGTTATATATTTTGGTATGAAGCTGCAATACTATTTCTGTGTTTTCTAACCAATATCACAAATTTGTCATTGGATGGTGTTATACAAAATCGATTTAGAGGTTATTATCTTAAATGTTAATAATGAAAGGAAGGTAAATCCTTTTTGTGGGATAAAGAGCCATTTCAAAAATGGCAACAATCTTTCAAAAAAAATATCTATAGAAAGGGTGATAGATAATTTTGATTGTAGTAGTTGTGGCCCCCTAAATAACTAAAATCAGCATTACTAACTTAGTTGGAGTAATAAATGTGTAATTTGCTAATATTTCCTATTTTTATGCAATTCTCTTCAAAATCCATAGATCCCGAAAAACAATGTCCATGCATTTGTTTTATACCCCGTGGTCCGGTACAAGATTTTATGGAAATGATTGATCCAGATAATTCCGCAGAAGAACCATTCAATTTCCAACAATGGCCAGTGAATGAAAATAAATGGACACAATTTATTTGGTTCATCTCTTATCCATTGGAAGTGTTAATGTTTCTAACCATACCAGATGTGCGACGAACGTCCCAAAGTAAATGCTATATACTGGGCTTAATCATGTCCGTTGTGTGGATATCAATTTTAACATATTTAATATCATGGATGCTGACCGTGGTTGGTATGACAGATAAATCCTGTGATGTTTTTCCACCACATACAAATGTTATCCATTGAAATAGGTTATTATTTGCAAATACCCGATTCCATAATGGGCATAACAATACTGGCAATTGGTACAAGCATTCCCGAGGCAATATCAAGTGTTATTGTTACCAAAAAAGGTAAACTTATTGCTTTCATTTAATTTGTGTTCAAGAAATTTCCCCTTTGTATTATTTTAGGCTATGGTTCAATGGCAGTCTGTAATGCCGTTGGCTCCAATAATTTCAACATTTCCTTTTGCTTAAGTATTCCATGGCTCTTCAAAACCATACTCATGTCCAGTAATTCCCAACAACAGACCATTGCAATTAATTCGACAAGTATTTTCCACTCGACTGTCATTATGGTGGTCACATGTTTAATACTGTATGG